AATTTTTGCCAATATGGTAATCTCTCAGCGGAGAGTTTATTTTTATTTTCTTTAGTTTTGTTTTTGATGAGGCATATTGTAACACTACCCAATTCCGCAACACAACCCGGCAACAGTTAACGAGCGGTGTGATTGAATCGTTCTTACATGCTATATATTTGTTATGTTAGTTTTCATTATTCTTTTACTAGTTCGACAAAGTTGTAACGTCTTGAGGTTCATAAAAACCAATTAAATGAATCAGTTCATTAGTTAAAGTGCCCACTAAACGACCTCATCCCTACGCTATCCACACCCGAAATCCCTTACAAGTGGCGCTTAACGTGAGGCCGTATCGTTTTGTTTAAATGTTTACAGCATTTGTTGTATCATAACTTTATTATATTCCGTAACTTCAGTGCGCGCCGACCAGCAAACTCTGTAGCACAAACGCAACACAGGATCGATTCGTATGATCTATCGATCGATATATTCGATTGCGCTGTTGCCATATCATTTTCAATATCTGCAAATTACTGATTTTCATTTCGGTTTAAAAAAACTGCTGTTCGCGCGATTGTTGAAATTGTACTGTTGCCGAATCAATTCTGTTTTCCGGAAAATCGCCTGTTTTAAATTATTTGTTTGGATTTTGCTATTTTTTGCATTTTACGAACTATCATCACTATTAACGCACGAATAATATGTACGCATGCCCAAAACCAAGCGAAAGCTATGTAGTAATTCTAATACTAGTCCAAGCCCTATTGATACCCATTGTAACGATGTCACCGGAACAATTTCAAGCGCTACTTAATAGCATGAGACAGGCTGTGGTAGGAAATAAAACTCCTACTTTACCGCAAACTACAGGTAATTGCCCCAGATGTAACAGTGGTTTCTCAGGAACCAAAGATGAAGACGTGAAAGCTTTTATTGGTGCAATTAATGTTTATAAAGAATGTGTACAGATAACTGATACTAACGCCATTAAAGGCCTTCCTATGCTTCTAGATAATAAAGCAGCCGAGTGATGGCAAGGTACTAAATCGTCCATAACTACCTGGGATGCAGCTCTAGATTCGTTGAGGCACACTTACGGGAAAAATAAATTCGCTCCTAAAATTTTCAAAGAACTTTTTTCTAAAGAACAAGGGGATCGATAGCCCACAGATGTTTTTGTGAATAGTTGTCGGGCACTATTACCTCGTTTGCCCTGCGGTACTGATGAACCTGTATTGTATGATAAATTTAAACTCGATATGATATATAGTCTATTCGAAAATTTTATTTTACTATGATGAACTAATAACTGCATTTACACGTTGAATTTAATAAAAATTTGGTCTTCTTTAATTTTATATCAACCTTGTTTTAGTCGAAAGAACAGGAGCCTGCCGAAAATATTACAACTACTGTTAATACTATTATTACAAAACATTATTGTTGTGGAACTTTGCTATGCTCGTCGCGTAAATATTCACTCGTTGCATAAAATAAATCATTTCATTACGTGTTATATACAATTTTTTTTAATTTTAACTAGATTATTTATAAAATTAAGTTTTGAAAAAAATTACATTTAGGCAACCAATATTACTACTGTCTTGTACTGTTAGTTGCGTTTAATTACCTTCATTCTTTTATTGACAAATAGAAAATAATAGAGGAGAAAGTGGTAATATGCAACCCTGCTGGTAATATGGAACCCTACTGGTAATATGGTTAATTCTGAACCGGTAGTGACGTCTACTTTTAAAATAGCTAAATTTCAATTGTCAGTCAGATTAAGCTTGTAGGAAACTGTAGCACGTAACGGCAAAACAGAAATACAACAGTGGCAGTTTAGATGTAGACAAGTAAACCAAACATTTTTTGATGCGAGTTCTTTTCAACGTAAAAGTAATTACGTGCGATTTTTTGTTGGCAAGGTTTTTTTGTGACGTTATAGGTAAGTTTGCATTTCGCATGCTTCAGAAAATTTTGCTAAGCTATTTATTGACACGTGATTTGATAATTATATGCAGATGATCTGAAGCTGTTTAGACAAATCTCCTCTGCAGCTGATGCTGAGTTACTGCAAGGGCATATCACAGCAATATCCAAATACTGTCATATCAACGATCTCTCATTCAATATACCTAAATGTAATATAATCACTTACACCAGGAAGAAGAACCCCATCATAACAGATTATAAAATTAGCAATACCTTAATAAAGAGAACAAACGAAAGCAAAGATTTAGGGGTGGTTTATTCTTCAAATTTTAATTTTAATAAACATATAACAATATTAACAACAGACTGATATAGAAGACTCGCATTTATTCTCAGGGCTTGCCATGATTTCTCTACCGAAACATGCATATATATATAATGCATTCGTACGATCTAAAATAGAATATGCCTGTATAATTTGGTCACCCAAAATAATCCTTTATAATGATACCTTGGAAAAAGTGCAGAAGCGTTTTGTCAGATCTCTACACATGAAAAAATATGGAGACTACCCCTTATGTATCTCTTACCAGAGCCAGTTAATAGATTTTAATATTAAAGCACTATTTAGCAGAAGGATCAAAGCCCAATTAACATTTATAACAAATATTATATATGGAAATTTTAATTTACCCGAATTACTAGCCTCCATCAATTTCAGCGTACCAGATATTCGCCTTAGGCAAAGATACACATTATTTTCCAACAATAATTTATTCTCACCTATTGATAATTCTCTTAAAACACTAGATCGGTTCATGATTAGCAATAACATTGACCTTTTTAATATGTCTTTCAACAAATTGAAATTAATATTCGATAAACATACATTTTAACAAAAACTATTATAACTCTTAATATTACACATATTATATTTTTATTAATTGTACACCATTGTTAAATTTATTTTTAGTTTTAGTAATTATTGTAAGTACTACCAAACTGGATAACATGTAAATGGATTGCATTCTGTTTGTTTTGCAGTATAAATAAATAAATAAAATAATATGGAACCCCCAGGGTGATTGTAATATGGAATAGGATTCCATATTGTATACAAGGGTTCCATATTAAAAACAAAATTTAAGGATAATGCGTCGGTAAATTCTGGCAGATTTCACTCCGTATTATATCAATTATTGCTTAAAGAAAATTCAAAAATACTACCGAGAGGGTGTCCCAAACATATGATAAATAATAGCATAAAACATAAATACGCATAATTAGTCATACCTCGAAACGGCCATTTTTGTTGGACAGGTCAGGGTGCATTATCCAAACAAACTTTGTATGCAGTTTTGCATATTCTCTTTTTTTATCGCCTTTTAAAGTTGAAGATAAACCTATTTAAGCCGTAAATACCTATAAAAACAAGCTTTACACACACACACGAGTTTCATTCCTCAACCAACACCTAAAAACCCAAGAACTACAAGGAAAAAATATAAATAAAGGTGTAAGAAAAAAAACTTTAGAAAAGGAAATTTCCTTCTATAAAGTACCAATATTAAAACAAGAATTTGAATTGTTTTATATATTTAGAAAAATAATTGGTAAGTAGGATGTTATTTTTATGGATACAAAAAAATTAAATTAACCTAACCTCAAATATACATTTTTAATAGTATTTTTAATGCATTTTAATAGTTTATTTTGCTGCTATTTTATATTGTTACAGGTACCTATAGAAAATATGGTAATGTGTTGGGCTCCTGAATGTAAACATTACAATCAAAGGAAACCTTGTGGGTTTCTTAAATTCCCAAAAAAACATAAAGGAGAGAACGAAATGGAAAACATTAGTTAGACGTAATGAAGAACCTAGTCCAGGCGCCTTTCTTTGTAGTTGTCATTTTCCGGAAGGGAAAAGAGAAACTGGAACACAATTATTTTTACATAATTTAAAGAAGCGATTTACTTTTACATCACCAGAGAAGAAAAAGAGAAAGGTTAAAACTTCAACTGATGACACGGCCACAGTTACAGAAGTAAGTTTGGATGATAGTGATTCAGAAAAAATTGATTATCCTATACAGGCAGAAATACCTGAGGAAATACCTTTAGACAGGAGTATTTATGTGAATCCGCAGCCATCCACATCACAAGGTACTGGTGAAAGCAACTTTTCAAATGTGTTACTCGAATCTGAAAATTATTTTCTAAGAAGAGACTTGGAAAAACTCAAATCTCAGAAAGAAGTGGCTTTAGGAAATTTGTCATTCTGATAAGTTGATTTCAATGTATACAGGACTTCTAAATGCAGGCATTTTTAATAGTTTTTAGAACCCATAGAAATTAATTATTACCTGAAATGGAATATAGAGAAAATTTCAAAGAGAGATCAATTACTGATGTGCTTAATGAAGTTACGACATAATTTTCCACAAAAACATCTTGCTCATTTATATGTTTTACAGGCAACTGTTACAAATGTTGTAATAACATGGATCCCCCCCCTAAAGAGCTGTGAGACCTTGTCGTTGGTGGAGGGGCTCAGTACCTACGATTCCGAGAACGATTCCGGCGGGGGTGTGTACTCCTGGGAGGCCTACCCATGCTGGTAAGTTTAAGGATGACTAGCGAAGCCAAAGACAGCTCAGCAGGTTCAAACTTGTTATGTAACCCAAGGTGTTAACAACCGTGCCAACGGGTGAATGGCCATACATAGTTGGTCGCGAACAGTGTATTCCGGATAACTGGTGCCCTCTGGTTTTATGCAGCCTTGCCTCCGTAACCCTGTTCTGCGGTGGTCGACCTCTTTTCAGGACTACTCGTGGGATTTAGATGAGTAATACTTCAGAAAATATAACTGCGGTTGTAGATTAAGGTGCTGGATGTGCAGCCAGCATCAACAATAAAAACCAAACGAGGTGCCCCCCTCGTTAAACAATGGCAACACCACAAATTAGGAATAGGCGGTTAGTCCCCGGTTCCTGATCGTTAAAAGAAAAGTGTATGATTTCTCTAAAGTTAACCGTTTCGTTATTCAGAAAGCTCTTTCAGGTATATGTGGTAACTTAAAAATGATAAAAAAGATCAAAGATGGACTTTTAATTGAAACTGTCTCCGCAGCACAAACTAAGCGATTACTAGCCATACAAAAACAACACGACATGGACGTAGAAGTACAACCACACAAATCCCTCAATAAAATAAAGGGCGTAATTTATTGTCCGGATCTCTTAAATAGTACGGTCGATGAAATATTAGATGATCTTAAATTACAAGGAGTAGTCAGTGTATACAGAAATAAATCAAAAAAGGATGGACAACTTGTTGATACTCCTATCCACGTTCTTACATTTACTACAAGTATTCTCCCCAAAACTGTCAAGGTATCGTTTTATTCTCTACCAGTTAGATTGTATATCCCTCAACCAATGAGATGTTTTCGCTATCAAAAATTCGGCCACACCTCGATGCGTTACGATAAACCACAAGTCTGTGTATGTGGCAAGCTAATCATTTGTATAAACTGCAATGGAACTCACTCCGCTAGATCTCGCATGTGTCCAGTTTATAAACAAGAAATGGCAATTCAGGAAATCAAAACCAAGAACAACATTAGCTACACGGAAGCAAAAAAGAAAGTTATAATACCCACCCCAAGACAGAATACATCGTACTCGCAAGCAACTTCTAGTTTACCCCATTCCACTGAACAACTAATAAAAAATCTAATTCCTGTTCTTATTCACGCCTTAAAAAGCCAATTTACAATTATCCCCAATACTAATTCTCAACTTTCTCAATTCTCTGATGACCCAAGAAACTAAACGTAGACGAGCAGAACAATCAGAAGATGAGTATAAATCAGTGACAAGCGATGGTCCTTCCTATTCACAACCAACAAAAAAGACGAAAAAGTAGAAGAAGAAAGGAGGATGGCAAAAAGGAGTATCAAGAAAGCATATTGTATCTGCTACTCCTGAAAATAAACCGCCTACTCAAAATAAACCGCCTACCCAAAATAAACCGCATACACAAAATAAACCGCTTACTGAAAATATGGACACCATCCCCCCCTCCCTCCCCTACCTCCTGGGGAAGGATCTCCATAGTAATACTCTGTGATCTGCACATCATTTATTTACATATATCCTATTTTTACCTCTAATATAATGGAAAACATCCTACAATGGAATTGTAATGGATTAACTCATAACTTCTCCAACTTAAATTAATCTTATGCGAATCACACCCACCCTTTTGCATCTACCTGCAAGAGACACATCTAAAACAAAACCAAACATATGCGCTTAGAGGTTTTAAATTGTATAAAAAAGACATGCTCCCAAATTATCGAGCACATGGTGGTGTCGCTATCCTTATAAAAGAAAACTTACCATCTGCAGAATTAGCTATTCAATCTAGACTACAAGTTATCGCTATCCAAATTTTATATCTGTTAAAGATTACTATTTGTAATATTTATCTGCCAGATTTTAACTGGAATCTTCAAGACCTAAAAAACATTATACACCAACTTCCACCACGTTTAATTTTAGTTGGCGGTGACTTTAACTCGCACAACCCGCTCTAAGGATCTACTAGATTAGATGTAAGAGGAAGACTCATCGAAGATCTAATAAATGATACAAATCTGATCCTTTTAAACACCGGTGAGGGAACCTTCTTGAACTCCAGATCCAACACTCTTAGCCATTTAGATCTCTCCATGTGCTCTCCCAATATTGCCCATAATTTGGACTGGAGAGTGGTTTCCAAACACTTCTTTGTCGATCATGCTCTAATTCAGATTACCCTCAGTGTAGCAAATTTACTTCCTTCGCTTCCTATAACATGGCAAGTGAAGAGAGCGGACTGGGAACGTTTCCATAGTTCATTAAAACTCCTAGAAATAAAAGAAAATATTAATGAAACAGTTGATCTTATAACCAATGAAATTATAAATGCGGCCTCTCAAAGCATCCCAAAAACCAGTGGCCTAGCAAAAACAGTATCAGTGCCTTGGTGGAATACTAATATCCAACAAGCCGTTAAAGAAAAAACGGCAAGCATTTAACAGGTTTAAAAGACACCTTACCACTGAAAATATGATAGATTTCAAAAAACTTCGTGCCTAATCCCGCCAAATCATCCTAAAGGATAAAAAAGAATCATGGGAGAAATATGTATCTACTTTAACAAGAGAAACACCTCTGACGGAAGTTTGGAGAAAAATTAGGACAATAGCAGGGAAAAGATTTGCATCACCTTCACCTATATTGCTCATTAACAACGAAGAAATAACGGGTGGAATCAATATAGCAGAAGCAGTAGTTACACACTTTGAAGAAGTAAACAGCTCTGAAAACTATTCCCATGAGTTTCAATTGATTAAAACCACTGAAGAAGAACCATTAGATTTTAGTGAAAGTGGAGGAGAATCTAGCTATAATGTCGAGTTCTCCTTAGAAGAATTACAACTAGCCCTAGAAGTGTCAAAAAGCTTTGCACCTGTTCCTGATGACATACATTACCATATGATCAAAATGCTTTCAGTAGCACAAGAAGAAAAAATTCTTCTTCTATTTAATAAAATTTGGACCCAAGGTATATATCCAGAGAATTGGCAGGAAGCACTAATTATACCAGTACCCAAACCTAATACAGATCTTATAGTACCCTCAAACTACCGGCCAATAGCCCCCACTAGCTGTCTTAGCAAGCTACTAGAAAAAATGGTTAACTCCAGATTGATCTGGCTTTTGGAAACAAATAATCGTTTGTCTAGCTATCAGATGGGCTTCCGAAAACACAGATCAACTATGGACCAAATTGTATTACTCGACAGTAAAATCAAAGAAAGTTTTGCCAATAGAAACCACTTAATTGCTGTCTCCTTTGACATTGAGAAAGCTTATGACCTAACATGGCGTCACGGAATTCTTAAAAGCCTACATAAATGGGAAATTAGAGGAAACTTACCTATTTTTATATCGCAATTCCTCCTTCAGAATGAAATACCACAAGGCTCCACCATTAGCGTAACACTATTTCTGATTGCAATAAACAGCCTACTATCTTGTACGTAGATGACCTCCTTATATACTATTCCGGAAAAGACATAGTACAAATCCAAAACAAACTTCAACAAGCTGTAAACCATCTTGTTAAAGAGGCTGATTAAAATGGTCTAAGATTTTCATCACAAAAATCACACTGCATCGACTTTTGTCGTCTAAGACATGTGCATGATAACCCTCATATTTTCATAAAGGATCAACGCATAGAAGTCTATGGCGCAGCCTGTAAAAGCCATCTATATAAACTTAAAAAGATTCATAGAGAGGGTATCCGACTGACTATTGGAGCCTTTCGTACTAGCCTCTCCCTATCAATCTACTCTGAAGCAGGAATACCTCCCCTACAATATAGACGCGACCAACAACTTTTTAACTACTGCTTAAAAATATGGTGCCAACCATCTCACCCTGTACATCATACCTTTACTAACGAAATAAACACCGCAAAGACGGTAACACACCTTTTTCAGACCAATTTGGAAATGTTAGAAGTGGAACTCCCATCAGTATTTCCTCTAAAATACACAGAACTCTCTCCCTGGCTAATTGAACATACAAATATACATTTTGAATGCGATAAATATAAAAAAGAAAACACAAACCCTATCGTATTCAAAAATATATTTAAAGAAATCTCAGCTAACTGCTCTACTACTAATATTATATATACCGATGGATCTAAAATAAATAACGGGGTAGGATCAGCTTTTGCCTGTTTGAGAGAAATATACCGATGTACCTTACATCCCATAACTTCCATATTCACAGTAAAATTATTTGCTATCCTTCAAGCACTAAGATACATAGAATCAGAAAAACTGGAACTTACCTTATATGCTCTGATTCACACAGCGCCCTCCAAGCCATGCGAAACACCTTCTCCTCTGATCCTCTTGTCCAAATAATTAATTGCGTGATTCAGTTGTGACGTGAATCAGACAAGGTAGTTGACTTTCTATGGATCCCGGGACATATTGGTATCCAATGAGTTAGCCGACAAAGCCGCCCGCACTGCTTCTCAAGAAACATTCCTCAATGACATCCCCATTCGAATAGATGACCTAAAAATACACCTAAAAGAAAAAACAATCAGCAAATGGCAGGAAGAATGGAGTGAATCAGATATAAAGCTCAAAGAGATAAAACCTCAAATTAAAACTTTTACTTACTCTCCACTGAAGAGACGGGAACAAGTGGCATTAACTAGGTTGAGAATAGGTCATACACACCTAACGCATAGCCATCTATTGTGTGGCTCAAGACCCCCTATTTGCGACACCTTTAACGTACAAATTACCGTTAATCACCTACTACTAAACTGTCAAAAGTACACTCACCTCAGACAAATCTGTAACTTACCTAATACCCTACAAAACTGCCTAAATTCACATTTTCTCTACTAAAGACCATAACATTTGTCAACACTGCAGGTCTTACAAGAAAAATGTAGTTACTGTTAGACATTTTATATAGGCTAATGACCGCAGTAGTCGATACCTACACAAACAAAAAAAAACATGGATTTATGTTTTGCATGAAATTATTTATAAGCAAATTATGTCAGAAATACCATTTCGTAAAAAAAATCAAACTTGCTTACCTAGTAGTTTTAGTACATTCACTAATTGTAGAATTATTATTGACTGTACTGAAATAGCAACAATGACTCCAAGAAGTTCTATAGCCACTCAAAAAGCTACATACAGCACATATAAACACAGGACTACATGGAAATACTTAATAGGTGTTGCTCCAACCGGTGTTGTAACATTTATTAGTGATCTATACCCTGGATCGACATCGGATAAAAAAATTGTGCAGCATTCAAAAATTTTAAAACAGATGAATGGTGGTAATTTAACATTAGCAGATAAGGGTTTTCTGTTAAAAGACATTTTACTACCTGGTATACATTTAAACATTCCTCCCCTTTTTATGACTCCCCAATTTACTCCTGCACAAATATACCAAACAGAGACCATAGCAAGAGCCCGGATACATGTGGAAAGGGCTATTCGCAGAATGAAGTGCTATAAGATTTTAAATTTTATACCCCACAAGCTTCAAACTCATGCCACTACCATTGTAAAAGTGATCATACTCTTCAGATGACAGCGATTAAAAATATTTGTAAGAATAAAAAAAATATTTTATATAACTTGTTTTATTGTAAATTGTTTTATAAATATTCATATTTTTAATAAACTTGTATATATTATGGACTATTATTTTTATAATTTGCTAATAGTTTTCTAGGGATTTAGGTATTTAAAACCATATGCATATTAGCTTAAACTATTTTGTAGAGGGGAATACATCGTGTACTGTATGAATACTATAAAAAAATTAATTTACAAAACTACAGCTATGATCCTGGTCAGCTCTGACATAAAGAATTGTTGATATAATCCCTCTATAAAACAGTTTAAGGTAAAAATAAAGTACTTTATAAACAATATCTCTGTTAACAATGTCAATCCGTTCTTCAATTATTCAAGTATTATATTGTAATGAAATGTATGATTTAATTATTTTTAAGAAAATATTTTTTATAAATTTGTTTTCTCAGTGTAGAAGAAAATACCCTTTAGCTAACTCATAAAATAAATTTATATTAGACGCCAATGACAATATTATTAATTTTATATAATAAGCACCTCAGAAACTTATCTATATAGGCCTTTAACATTCCTTTTCAATTAAGTGTGCACGAGACTCAGTTATTTGTTTTCTATGTCATTACCATT